TTTCGTAAGGGTACTCGTGATACTCGTCCTCCGTCCAGGTATACAGTTAATATTAGTTATCATCGTCTTTCTCCATCATACTTTGCTTGCCTTTCCTCTTTGTCCTCTGTATCTATTCCTAAGACTATAGGTGATGCACTTTCACATTCGGGATGGAGACAAGCTATGATTGATGAAATGAGTGCTCTTCATCATAATGGCACGTGGGATATGGTGCCTCTTCCTTCTGGAAAATATGTGGTTGATGGCAGATGGATTTATGCTGTTAAGGTTGGACCTGATGGTCAAGTGGATCGTCTTAAAGCTCGCTTGGTGGCGAAGGGTTTCACTCAAGTCTTTGGCTTGGATTTTATTGATACTTTTTCTACTGTGGCGAAAATGTCTACTGTTCGCCTTTTTATTGCCATGGCTGCTATTCGCCATTGGCCTCTCTACCAACTGGATATTAAGAATGCTTTTCTTCATGGTGATCTAGAGGAAGAAAATTATATGGAGCAACCTCCTGGATTTGTTGCTCAGGGGGAGTCAGGTCTTGTTTGTCGTCTCTGTAAGTCTCTCTATGGCCTCAAACAATCTCCACGAGCTTGGTTTGGTAAATTTAGCAGTGTTGTTCAACTTTTTGGCATGACTCGGAGTGAAGCTGATCATTCTCTCTTTTATCGTCATTCTGCTTCTGGATCTATTTATCTGGTGGTATATGTGGATGATATTGTCATTACAGGCAGTGATCGGCATGGGATCACTCGATTGAAACAACATTTATGTCATCATTTTCAGACTAAGGATCTTAGGAAACTTCGATACTTCTTGGTAATTGAGGTGGCCCAATCTAAAACTGGTGTTGTGATATCTCAGAGAAAATATGCTATGGATATCCTTGAAGAAACTGCTCTGTTGAATTCAAAGTCTGTTGATACTCCTATGGATCCAAGTATCAAGCTTCTACCAAATCAGGGGGAGCCCTTTTCAGATCCTGAACAGTATAAAAGATTGGTTGGAAAATTGAACTACCTCACAGTCACTCGGCCTGATATTTCCTTTGCAGTGAGTGTTGTCAGTCAATTTCTCAATTCTCCATGTCAAGAACATTGGAATGCAGTCATTCATATTCTTAAGTACATCAAGGCATCTCCAGGAAAAGGCCTTGAATATGAAGATAAAGGTCATGATAAAGTTGTTGGGTACTGTGATGCTGATTGGGCTGGTTGTCCAGCTGATAGGAGATCTACTTCTGGGTATTGTGTCTTTGTTGGAGGCGACTTGATTTCCTGGAAAAGTAAGAAACAAAGCGTGGTTTCCAGATCAAGTGCTGAAGCAGAATACCGCTCCATGGCGACTACTACTTGCGAGCTCATCTGGCTTAAACAGCTTCTCAGAGAGCTTAAGTTTGGAGACACTGGACAGACAACTCTTATTTGTGATAATCAATCAGCTATGCACATTTTATCAAATCCAGTGTTTCATGAAAGAACCAAGCATATAGAAATAGATTGTCACTTTATTCGATAAAAGATTCTTGCTGGTGAAATTAAAACTAGTTTTGTACCCTCTAATAAGCAATTAGCTGATGTGTTTACAAAATCTTTGAGGGGTCCTCGAATAGAGTTTATATGTAACAAGCTTGGTGCTTATGACCTATACGCTCCAGCTTGAGGTGGTGTATCCCAATGTTCTTTACATGGTATCAGAGCCTCGCCGCCCCCCACTTTCTCTTGTGGACTTTCTTAGCACAGATAGGCTGGGCCTGTTGCATCTTCCACTCTTCAAGCCCAATGGGCTCTCGTGTGAGGGGGCGTGTTGAGATATATAGTCCCACATTGGTTGTATGTGCAACCAATGTGGCCTTTATAAGGCCTTGAGCACTCCCACCCTTTGAGCTAGCTTTTGGGATGGTGTATCCCAAGGTTCTTTACAGATTTCATCTTGTTGATGATCGGTACAGTCTTTTTGTTCAAAGTTTTCGACTTCACTTTTTGAGTCTCCTTCTTTTGCTTCCTTTGATACCCAAAATCTGTTAGCACGAGAAAGAAGTTTGATACCCATTTTTCTGTTGTGAGTATTTTCACTTTCTCTTTGTAAAGTTTTGATCTTTTTGTAGTTTCATGTTGTTAGAATGCTCAAAAACCAACAGAAAGTGAAAGAAAAAAATGGGTATAAAATAATTATAGTTTGCAATAATTTTTGGAATTTATTTGTTTAGCTTTATGGTGCTTGATAATTGAAGTATATGGGTATGTAGTGATGTGGACATCATGGAACTTTATGATGTTAGTTTTAGGTGCTCGCCTAATTTGGATTCTACGAGCTTTTCCCTCTTTTTGGATTTATTTTAGTTATGTGATTATATTTGTTATTAAAATTACTTAATGGGTGAATCTCTTGAGACCGCTGTACATGTTTTTTGGTTTAAGATTGTGATTCTCCTACTTTTCATTGTTGACATGACACATGGCAATGAAGTAATTTATGTTAAATTCGTCAATTTAGTATACTTATTAAATTATATTTTATTTAAAATTCTATAAATTGAATTTGTTAAATTTTTGTCCCTCTTCATATAATTTTTTGGGTCCGCCACTGGTTATATACCAACCTCATAATGCACGTCTCTTTGTAGGGGGAAAACCCATATTCATAAAAAAGGAGAACAAGAAAGAAAGGAATTCATCTTCGCCCCGCTTGCATATAATTTGAAAATTGACCTGTGGAGTCAAGATGAGATTTTTCCACTGGCTGTACTTATGAGACCAAGACCATCATGGGCCATGGCTTAAATTCACGAAGGGAATGTCATTGGTAGTTTCCAACTGCTTAGAGAGAAACACGCCGGAACCCACGTATTAAAAAAAAAAAAATTAACGTTTATATTAGATAATTTATCTATATTTATTTCTAAAACGATGTCATTTTGAATTAAAAAATTATAATAAGAAAGAAGACTATTATAATCCTGAAATAAATTGTAATTATAGAAATACCTTGATTTTCACTCCAAAACGATATCATTTTGAACCCAATGTAAATAACTTATCTATATTGACGGTAGAAAAAACGAACCCTAAAAAAAAAATTAGTTAATTGTTTTTTTTCTTTTCTTTAAAATAGATCCATTCTGGAAACCTAATAAACTGTTGACTACCTTGTTTATTGGCAAACTCTTTACGTTTCTTTATTTTCTCTCTACTTGGAGATGCTGAGATAGAAGTCAGAAACTATTACAAATGACATGAAGAAAATTATTAAATTAGTTAAGTAAAATACAGCTATCTGATTTTTTTAACTAATGTATATCCTCACCTTTAATAGTTAGTTATTCATATTTATTTAGTTTATGAGTTGAATTTAGGTTGATTCGCGATAGTGAATTTATGCAATTTTAAAAAATGTTTAAATACTTATATGTCGTTGTTATACTTAAAAATATAACAAAATGTTTCTTCTTTATTTTCTATTGAGGGTAATTCTCCGAGTTATTGATAATTTTTTTTTCATGTTGTATAATTATAAATTGTTTCGAATACATGCAGTTAATGGAAGGAGTCCCTAACTTAAAAAAAACAGCTAATTCAAAAACTACTTTGAGAATAAATTCTTTGAACTTACTTTTAATTTAGCATGATTTTTGTAATATAACAGTGGTACTGAGATCCGAATCTATAATCTTATACAAACTATTCAAATCCCTAATTACTATATTAATGGCTTATTTAGCCCAAAATTTGTTACTAATAATTAATGGATAAGATATTGTGACAACCAAATAATATTACTACCACATTTTAATCGTTGATTTCCGTCAATCAACGGTTATCATTTCAAAGACGCTTACCAAAAAATAAAAATAAATAATAATCAAAGACCAGTGAGATCTTTAGCTGATCTTACACGAGCATTAAACGTTTCAAAAATAAATGTTACGAATAAAAAAGCACGAGTGTCAACTTAATTATATTTACTTTTATGAAAAAATATACGATGCCATTATCATTATTCCCAACTATTTATATATTAATTTCACAAACTAAATTGAAAATAATAAAACAAGAAAAGAAAATTATAGTTTAAACAAAGACTAGAAGAATATTTCACCAAGGATTTTCCAAAACAGGTAACAGAAAGGTGCACCAAAATGGTCATGCGATGAAGACGAAGACAAATCTAAATTTGGATTAACATTTGCGGTGCACCCGTTCCTTTGAAGTGATGATAATGTATTTTTTACTAGAACATTGGATTCTGCGCAAATTTTTAGAATCCAATTATGTAAAATTATATTAACATTACATTGATTTTGGTGCTATGGGTGTACCTTACATTCCTCCTTGAAGAATTAATCTTAGAAATTTATATTTCATCTAGATTCAGTGTATTTTATTAATGAAAATATTATATGTCAAAGGAGAAAGATAATTTAACATAAGAAATTTTTTTTTTTTACAAATATATAATATTTTAATGAGTAAATACTTTTTTTAGTCCTAACAAAAAACGCGGTCCCCATTTTAATCCCTTACAAAAATAAATTAGTCAGTTAGTCCCTAACAAATCTAAGGTGGACCCTTTTTAGTCCTTTTGAAGGACTAATATGGGTCTTTTTTGAATTTGTGAGGGACCACAATTTTAACTAAATAGATCCACTTTGAATTTGTTATGGACTAACTGACTAATTTATTTTTGTAAAAGACTAAAATAGAGACCGTATTTTTTGTTAGAGACTAAAAATAATATTTACTCTATTTTAATTAATAAGATATACTAAATTTTTGGTGATACAACAGCACCAAAAATTTATTCTCCAAAAATTTATTCCCCCCTAAATTACAGGCTTGACTTACGATAAATTAGACGCCATCTCTTACGATGCACGAAGTCGCACATGTAGACATAACTTTGCCAAACCTTTGACAATTTTGACGTCAATAGAATGCTTGTCTTATCATTATTTACAGCACAATTATATTCCAAATGTTGTAACCTTTGTATATAAAATTAAGCTAATAACAAAAATGATTCAAACATATCATAGACCAATTCCTTGTCTGACATTCCCTGCAAAGTTCTATATTCATCTTCCAATCTTCCAACACATAGAAGAACACCAAGATGAAGACTCGTACCTCTACCAAAATCTCTGCAAAATGGATTCCCATTTTCTCTATCTTTTCCTTCATACTTGGTATGCTCATCACAAGCAGGTCTCTCCCTTCTTCACTCTCTTTACTTTTTCATACATGATATGATTCATTTGAGCTCTGAAGTGGGATTGTTCTAAAATTTGAAACTTGGGTGTGTGAGTTTTGTTTTTCAAGCTTCGAACTTTATGATCCGATCATGGAGATTTCCCTTGGCTGCAGGATGTGGGAACCACCTGAATCAAACGGTAGGCTGATTTCGCAGCATCAGCATGATCAAGAACTGCAAGTGATCTCAGGGGACTGCGCTACCAAAAAGGCATGCTTAATCATCTTTAATTTTTCTAATTTCATCTGTGAAAAGTGTCTTAGTTATTTTACTTTGAATTTGAAATCGTTTTGCTTCCCACTTTTGGAATATCAGAAGCAGCCTAAGGATGCAGTGAACGAATTGTACAAAACCCATGAAGCCATTCAGTGAGTGCTAAACTGGAATATGTTTCCATTTTGCTAGATTTGTTTGCAATTGAAGTTTTTTTTTTTTTTTTTTTTTTTTTTAAGTAATAATAATTGGTGTTTTCATTTCTTCGGAGGCATGCCAGATCTCTAGACAAGCAAGTTTCCATGCTTCAGATGGAACTAGCAGCTGCTAGAAGTTCCCGTGAATCCGGAATCTCGGACTCAGATGGCTCAGCCACCAGTTCAGGGCTCTCCGGGGAAGGCCCTACTAGGAAAAAGGCATTTATAGTGATAGGCATAAACACAGCTTTCAGTAGCAGGAAGCGACGTGATTCAGTTAGAGAGACTTGGATGCCTCAAGGTATATCCTATTTCCAACAAAAACTGTTTTAAGGTTCAATTTGGTATCTCCTTAGTATTGGGGTGAAGAATTTAAGGTTAACTTTTTCCATATAGTTCTCCTTGAAATTTTCATCCCTATTTTTGAGGGGACATTGACCCTAACAGGGATGGATTAATTTCTAAAAAAGTTGTGTTTTTGACCCCCGTTTTGTTCAGGGGAACAACTTCTTCAATTGGAACGGGAGAAGGGAATTGTTATCAGATTCATGATTGGCCACAGGTAATTGCTTGTATGATTCCGGTTGTGTCAACTAATTGAAATTATCAAGACAAAACTTGGTATGAATCAGGAGAGAATTACAATAACACTTTTGAGAGACTACGTTCACCAAATAAATTTAGGAGTACAATGTGAAGCTGTAGGAAATTTCTTTTTGTTCAACGGAACGCTGGCATTTACCATTTCATTAATATGATATAACAACGTCGTTTCTGTTTGCTTGAACAAAGTTATCTCTTTTAACACTACTTATCTGACAGCTAGATCCAAAAAATGCGCCACTTTGAAATGTTCGTGCATAATAAACTAAGGATTTGTCATTTGACTCTCTTCCTTGGATCATCACAGTACTTTGTTTTGAAAACTTACCTCAAGGAACTATGGTTTACCACAAAAGTGGCTTTCGCGATCAATGTCAGTTAGACCCTTTGCAGTCCTTAGTTTTTTCTACTAAAGTTAATCCCTTCTTACTGATAAGGTGGATAGTGCATTTGTATCCTGTGATTGTAAATGATCAAAGAAAAAAGACCCTTGACAGCATGCCTCTTTGAAGTTATCCCTTCCTTTGAAGTTTGAATGCATATTGTTATTGCTTTATTTCTCTTAACGTTAATTATAATTTTGATTAAATCACTCATTTTCTTCAGTCATTTTGTCTCTTCCATTTCTTTAATAGCCTATATTGTTCTTAAAGCATAAATTTTTTCAAATTTATCCATTAAAAGGGTATTAGGGAACATGTTTTCAAAATCTTGTGCTAATTAGAAATGGTTTGTCAAACCTAAGCTTGAAATATATTACAGTATGAAGAAGCTTTAGCTTGATGTTTAGTTGTCTGTTAGTTATTATTTTGCACGTGAAGTTAAGTTGGTTAGAGTTAGTTTCTCTTTCTGTTTAGCTTTTTATAACTTCTTTTTTTTCAGTTGAATCAGTAGTGAGTTGCTGCGTCACTTGTGTATATTTGGCACTAGTGTCTTGGTCATTGCTCCCAATCAATATTGCGTAGCATGTCAAGGATATTTCCTTTCATTTCTTGTAAAGATCATATTGATATCTGCGATGTATGTCATTACTCTAAGCAAAAACGTTTAGCTTTTCCTTCAAGTGTCTCCAAATCTTTACAGCCTTTTGATCTTTTACATGCTGATATATGGGGTCCCCATGTGACACCCTCAATTCATGGTCATCTTTATTTTTTTAACTCTTGTAGATGACCATTCTCGATTTACTTGGGTAATACCGATGAAAACAAAGGCTGAGACACGCTCATATTTGCGTAACTTCATTACCTTTGTGGAAACTCAGTTTCATACTATCATAAAAGTTATTTGAACAGATAATGGGCCTGAATTCTCCTTGACAGAGTTTTACAGTTCTAAAGGCACAATCCATCAAACTTCTTGTGTTGAATGTCCACAACAAAATGGTGTTGTCGAACGAAAACACCAACATCTTTTAAACCCTGCACGTGTGTTGTTCTTTCAGTCTTGTATCCCAAAAGTGTATTGGTGTTATTGAGTGATTCATGCAGCCCATATCATCAATCGTCTTGTCACTCCAATTGCCAAAAATAATTCTCCTCATGAGGTACTTTTTGGAACTCCACTTTCCTTTGTTCATTTAAATGTGTTCAGGTCTTTATGCTTTTCTTCCACCTTCACACATAACAGAACCAAATTCCAACCTTGTGCCAGAAAATGTGTATTCCTAGGATATAAAAAAGGTACAAAAGGATATATTATTCTTGATCTTCAATCTCTTACTATATCCATTTCTCTAAATGTAGTCTTCTATGAAACTTGTTTTCCATTTCTTGAGTCCAAGTCACGGTCCAAAATAAATTCACAGTCCTTTAGAGTCCAACATTGTAATGTTGATTATGATACTCGTTCACCTCATTCCATTATTCCATCTCAAATTATTGTTCCAACTCATTTTGAATTCTATAATTCTCAAATGATAGCGAAAATGATTCACCACTTAGACGCTCAACAAGAGTCAAGACAAGGCCACAATACTTGACAAACTTCCATTATGGATTGTTCAATTTAGCAGACACCAACTCATCTTCAGGTACGGTTTTTAACACACTTTATTCTCTTTCTCATGTACTTTCATATTCAAAATATTCTCAAACAAACACCCGGTTTTGTCATAATCTTTCTTCTGAACTGAGCCCTCTACATATAAGCAAGCAACATCCATTCCTCATTGGCAAGATGCCATGAATCCAGAGCTCAAAGCTCTTGAGTTAAACAGAACTTGGTCCTTGGTTGAACTTCCTCCTGGCAAGAAACCCTTAGGTTATAAATTGGTTTACAAAATTAAAAGAAAACCAGATGGCACAGTGGATCGCAATAAGGCTCGCCTAGTTGCAAAAGGTTATACTCAATGTGAGGGGGTGGACTATTTCCAAACTTTCTCTCTGGTTGCCAAAATAACAACAGTTTGAGCTTTACTTGCAACAGCAGTGGCTAAAGACTGGATTTTGGAGCAACTAGACATAGATAATGCATTTCTACATGGAGAGTTACACGAAGAAGTGTTCATGGCATTGCCTACTGGGATTCAATGTTCCATTCCCAATGCTGTTTGTAAACTTCAGAAATCCTTATATGAATTAAAACAGGCATCACGTCAGTGGAATGCCAAGCTTACTCTGAGATACTTTCAATCCACTACAGATCATTCTCTTTTTGACCAAAACACTTTTCGGTCATTCACTGCATTATTGGTATATGTTGATGATGTGGTTTTAGCAGAAAATGATGCAGTTGAAATTTAACGTGTTAAGGACACTTTCCATGCTCAGTTTCGCATCAAAGATCTTAGCCCTCTGTTTTTCTTGGGCTTGGAAGTTGATTGTTCCAAGCATTGCTTAATTCTCAACCAAAGAAAGTATACCCTCAAGTTATTAGCTAAAATTGGTCTTTTAGCAAGTAAACCAGGCACTACACCATTGAATCCTTCGCACAAGCTTTGTCAGAATCAAGGTGATCCATATGAAGATCCTTCTGCATATAGACGTTTGGTGGGTAGACTTGTGTATCCTACTACCACCAGACTTGACATCACTCACGCCATGCATAAACTTAGCCAATTTGTTTCGAGCCCTATGCATGATCATTTCTTTGCAGATTGCCATGTCCTTCGCTATCTCAAAGGATCTCCTGGTAAAGGACTTTTCTTTCCAGCTTCTAATTCATTACAGCTTTCGGGTTTTGCTAATAGTGATTGAACTTGCTGCCCTAACATATGCAAGTCAATCACTGGGTTTTGTATCTTTCTCGAAGACTCTTTAATTTCATGGCGTTCGAAGAAGCAAAACACTGTGTCCAGATCATCCTCCAAAGCTGAATATAGGGCTCTCGCTAGTATAACTTGTGAAATCCAGTGGCTAGCTTTCTTGTTCAAGGATCTGCACTTCCCTTTCACTCAACCAGTATCTGTTTATTGTGACAACCAAGTTGCAGTCTACCTTGCACATAATCCTAGCTTCCATGAGCGCAACAAACACAGAGAAATAGACTGCCATATTAGGGAGAAGATAAATTCGGGTCTCCTTCGCTTGCTTCCTATATCTACTCAACGTCAACTAGCTGATGTTCTAACTAAATCCTTCCATCTTGCTCCCTTTCAAGAGGTTATTTCCAAGTTAGGACTACTTGATATTTATCTCCCAACTTGAGGGGGGCTATTATAGTATGAAGAAGCTTTAGCTTGAAGTTTAGTTTTTTGTTAGTAGTTTTTCTATTTAGCTTTTTATAACTTCTTTCTTTTCAGTTGTATCAGTTGTGAGTTTCCACGTCACATGTGTATATATATCTGTATCATGTATCAGATATTCAATTTAATGAAAATGACTTTTCTCAGCTCCTCCAAATATCTTTCTTTTCTCTACTTTGATATATGAACTGAGCTATGGGTGCCGTTGCACATAGTTTTCCTTATCTTTCTGGCCTTGGGAGTATGTGGTGTATTCTTTCTGTGTGATAAAAGTTGATGATATGATGGTTGCAAGGACAGATATACAGGGGGTGACCATGGTGCTGGCCACCCATGATTTGAATTTTTGTTTGTTAAAGTCATGTATAAAATAGTTAGGTGAATAAGATTTTCTCCTGAATGTTTGTGTTCTTCCATTACACATCAGACTGATTTAGAAAGTTGAGTCCTTCCTAATGGAAAAAAGCTTATAAAACTAATATTAATTGTTTTATTTTGTGAATGTGGACATATTTAAAACAGTTTTCTATTTTGCTATAATTTATTAGCATAAAGAACAAAAATGCTTCACAATATTTCATCCAATTTTTGTCCCCCTCACTCTTTCAATCCAGCATCTGTCCCAGGATGGTTGTATTTTTCATATTACAATGACCCATGCTCTAAATAGCCAAAGATATAAATGTCTTATTTACTTTTTGTCTTCTAAGTAACCATTCTGCATTGCATGCTTCATTTTATACTTGAATATAATGTGTTACGGATCAAAATTCAAAAAGTTAAAATATCATATGATCAATTATCTATTTATAATTTTGTAAAATTGGGGTATATTCTACGGCTGTATTTATGAATTTTTAATCTACAGAGATCTGAAGGCAGTACAGTGTATTTATGAATTTCTTTACATTAGGGGGGGGGGGGGGGGGGGGGGGGGGGGGGGTTGTGAATATATGGCAATTTTGTTCTTAAATTCAGCATTCTTCCAATTCCTACATGACCTCTACTTGCCTTAATTTATTATCCTATCTGAAAGCTGAAAACTTTATATGAGTTGCTTCTTAATGGCACTAAGACGGGTGATATTGCCATTGTTGTACCAGTGCAACTTCCAACAGCATTCTAGATCGAGCTATTGATTCAGAAGAAGCCCAGCACAAAGACTTCCTTCGCCTGGTAAGGCAGATCATTATTCATTAGAATTATTTGTGAGAGAAAAATCCGGATAATCTGGGCAGGAGTGTGATTTTTGGTTTTACTTAATTTTGTAGGAACATGTTGAAGGGTATCATGAGCTGTCTGCGAAGACAAAGATTTTCTTTTCTACTGCAGTTGCAAAATGGGATGCTGATTTCTATGTCAAGGTGGATGATGATGTCCATGTTAATTTAGGTACATGCTATCTCAGGATTCTTGACTTCTTTCTTGTATTTCCTTGCCATTGTTTCCTTTACCACTTTCTTTTGTCCCATTTCCCTAAAAAAACTTGATTCTACCTTATGTTTTTGTTTAGGTGTCCTGGCAACTACCCTTGCTCGTCATCGTTCAAAACCCAGGGTCTACATTGGGTGTATGAAATCTGGACCCGTTCTTTCTCGAAAGTAATTCCACTGGACTTCTATGCATTACACATTAGGAAAGAGGCTATCCCTTTTCTATGTCCCACATTGTGGTTTCATATTTATATATTGACTTTGTTTCTGTATATCTAGGGATGTCAAGTACCATGAACCTGAGTTTTGGAAGTTTGGAGAAGAGGGGAACAAATACTTCCGACATGCAACTGGACAGATATATGCAATTTCTAAGGATCTGGCCAATTACATTTCCATCAACCAGTATGTATATAGTTTTTCATGTAGTACTTAATTGGCTATCTTACTGATCTCTGGTCAGTACTTAATTGGTTATATATATACAAATTTCACGGGGGTCCTTATTGTGACTGCAGGCAGATTTTGCATAAATATGCTAATGAAGATGTCTCGCTTGGTTCATGGTTCATTGGTCTTGAAGTTGAGCATATTGATGACCGTAATATGTGTTGTGGAACTCCTCCAGGTATAGCTTCTCATATCTCTTTCTTCACCCTTACCGCTGCTTCAAGGCTCACACTCTAATTATAAAAGCTTATGGCTCTAAGATTTTGTTCTGTCTCCAGCCGGTGGCTGGTATATTTTATGTAGGATCTATCTACCTTCTCTCATGTATCTATGAATGAGATACCTTTGATAGTAGGCTGATCACTGTGCACAATAATAATCGACATAGTCAAGACGTGGGGTGTGTGCACAGTGACAAGCTAAGAGAGAGGATTTAGAGTGTGTACCTTGTTGGTTTAACCCCTTATTTATAGATGAGTTACCTGATAGGAGTATGATTCTGGGCCTCTCAGGAATATTGGGGGCCCAAGTCCAACTGCTTAGCTGTCTGGATAGGATTGTCATTAATAGGAGATTCCCTTCCTTTTGTGTTGTCCTTTATTGGTCCTTCTAGAATGTGGGCCTTTGTCAGGTTCATGACAGATTTAATGATTTGAAGTTCTAACTCTTAGTTTTTTAATCCTCTCCATCCCCACTTTTTATCTTTTGGATACGGTTCTTATTTACTATTAATGTTTCTGTAGACTGTGAGTGGAAGGCGCAGGCAGGTAATATATGTGTTGCATCATTTGATTGGAGCTGCAGTGGAATATGCAAGTCAGTGGAGAAGATTAAATATGTCCACTCAAAATGTGGTGAAGGGGATGGAGCTGTTTGGAGTGCTTTATTTTAGAATGATTCAAAGGAATATGGTTTTTTTTGCTGGTTGGAAGAGGGATTGATTGTTCAATTACAGCAGCTGGAACAATGGCAGTTTTCGGATTTGAGAACTTTAATTCTCTGCAAATAGATATGTAACATGGAAGATCTCATGAGCCATTCAATGCTGCTGGTTGATCATTTTGGGGAAGCTCTTCGCTGAAGTTAGCAATTTCATGAATGTGGATTTAAGGATATAGATCTGTTCAGTGTTTATACCTTCCAGGTTAATTTTTTTAGTGGGGAGGATTTGACAATGCTCGGTGTTCTGTAACATAGGCCTATTCCATATTTATATTTTTAATTTGTTCCTTTTATTCACTGTTTTTTGCTTCTATTTGTGTTAGGTCCCTTTTTTGTTCTTTGTAGTTAAAAAGAATGTACTGAGAATGTATCAAAAAAAAAAAAAAAAAAACGTACTGATAATTCTCCTACTACATTAAATAGGTGTATGTACTGAGAATGGCTTTGTAATTATGTATGATAAGCATCACTCTGCACTCTAGTTGATTACCTAAATTTATTACAAATTAATTCTTCTGTAAAATCCTTACTTTTTTTCTTTAGTGGAAGAGGAAAGGGATAAGAGGTTGCCAATTTCATTATACTATCTTATATTATAAAGGAATTCCATTACGTGGAAACCTTCTGACGTGTCGCACTGTGGTTCAATTTCATCAATGTGTTCACACTACAACATTTAAAAAAGTTTCCTTTAATGGTAAATCGGTGAATATAATAAATACAAAAAAGAATTATATTTTCAATTGACAGGATTTGTTACTTTAAATCAATGGTCAAGATTGCTTATTCATTGATTTATAACTACTAAATCACTCTTTGTCGTCATCTTTGTTTTTTAAATAATTGATGTTGATCATGTAATCTAATCGTTTTTTAACCTTTATTCAGTTTAATTCAAATCTTTATGTTTTTTGAAAAAAAAAAACAGGATATTCATTGTTATTAAAACAAATGACTGCTTTATTCCATGAAATGACTGTTAAAAAACGGGATATTTATTGATTTATAACTACTTAATCACTCTTTGTCGTTATCTTTGTTTTTTAAATCTTTATTCAGTTTAATTCAAAAACTTCACATTTGTTAAAGAATACAATTCTATTTACTCGAAAAAAAATTAATTAGTAAAAAAAAAAATTATACATATCCCGACCTTTGTTCCTTATTTTCAGATTTTTAAATTTGAATCTTTTATTAACCTCTTGATTCAGTGGAATCAGGTATGAGTGTTTTGTTATTAGAAAAAATTTCTGTTTTATTCCATGAAAATCTCATTTATAACTACTAAATCACTCTTTTGTCGTCATCTTTGTTTTTTAAATAATTGATGTTGATCATGTAATCTAATCGTTTTTTTAACCTTTATTTAGTTTAATTCAAATCTTTACGTTTTTAAAAAAAAAATGGGATATTCATTGTTATTAAAACAAATGACTGTTTTATTCCATGAAAATCTCATTTATAACTACTGAATCACTCTTTTGTCGTCATCTTTGTTTTTTAAATAATTGATGTTGATCATGTAATCTAATCGTTTTTTTTAACCTTTATTCAGTTTAATTTAAATCTTTACGTTTTTTGAAAAAAAAGGATATTCATTGTTATTAAAACAAATGACTGTTTTATTCCATGAAATGACTGTTAAGAAAACGGGATATTCATTGATTTATAACTACTAAATCACTCTTTGTCGTTATCTTTGTTTTTTAAATCTTTAATCAGTTTAATTCAAAAACTTCACATTTTTTAAAGAATACAATTCTATTTACTCGAAAAAAAATTAATTAGTAAAAAAAAAACACTCATACATATCCCGACCTTTGTTCCTTATTTTCAGATTTTTAAATTTGAATCTTTTATTAACCTCTTGATTCAGTGGAATTAGGTATGAGTGTTTTGTTATTAGAAAAAACTTCTGTTTTATTCCATGAAAATCTCATTTATAACTACTGAATAACTCTTTTGTCGTCATCTTTGTTTTTTAAATAATTGATGGTTATCATGTAATCTAATCGCTTTTTTTAACCTTTATTGAGTTTAATTCAAATCATTACGTTTTTTGAAAAAAAAGGGATATTCATTGTTATTAAAACAAATGACTGTTTTATTCCATGAAAATCTCATTTATAACTACTGAATCACTCTTTTGTCGTTATCTTTGTTTTTTAAATCTTTATTCAGTTTAATTCAAAAACTTCACATTTTTTAAAAAAGACAATTCAAAAACTATAAATCACTCTCATTTATATAATTCCCGATACGCATTATTCTTCAACGTCGGTGATTGCTTCTCTGTTTTTTCTTCTTACACAAAATATGAGTTCAAAATATGATTTTCTGAAGGATGTTAATCCTGCCAAGGAGGACTGGAGGATTAAGGTGAAGGTGGTTCGGACTTGGAAAGTTCCTAACTTTCAGCGTAAAAATTTGGAGGACAATCTTGAAATGGTTTTATTGGATGAACAAGTTGTGTTCTGTGTTTTAAAAATCTTCCATCTTTGTTTTGATCATTTTAGTTAACGTTGTTGACATAAGTTGGCTCCATTCTTTTGTAGGGTGGTAGGATCCACGCCACTGTCAAAGGTACCTTGCAGGTGCGGAATAAAATCAACGAAGGAGAGTGCTATTTTATAAAAAAAAATTGGAGTTGGATTCAATAGCGATGTGTTTAGGCCAACCAAGCATCAGTATCGTTTGTCTTTCAACTTGAGGACTGATGTTAAATCGATTGTTGTTTCTGATATTTGTGCGAGTGATTTTGATTTTGTTGATTATAACATCATTGAGAAAGAAACGTCTGACTCCCCTTATTTAGTCGGTAATAGATTCTTCCTCACTGTTATCCTTTTTTTAATTATTGCGGGTTTTATTTTTTTCCCATACTCTTTGCTGCCTTTTTTTAATTTTTAAACGTCATTGGTTTATTCTGTATCATGACTATTTCCTTATTTTTAAACTCTTTGCGGTTATAGTTTTGTGTTTTTAATGTTTTGTCACGAGTAATCTTATTCTGTATCATTATTTTTTTCATTAACTGTGTTTTTTATGTTTCTGCGTTCGTTTTTTATTATTGCATAATTTTTTTCACAAACTCTTTGCTGCGTTTTTTTTTGTAGACGTCATTGGTTTAATCTCAGGAATTGGGAAAGTTTGTGATCGTGTGGTTTCTGGTAGGAAGACAAAAATGGTGGTGTTGGAGCTTGACGACCTGAGGTACTTACAAATGTTTAGTTAAATGAATTATTTTTGTCCAGCTCTGTTAGCTTATATTTTACGCGTATTAACGTTGTGTTTGCTGCAACTCACGTGTAGGGGTCATAAGTTGGAGTGCACTTTGTGGGAGCATTATGTGGATGAGGTCCAATCTTTTTTGGCAGACAACGACGATCCTCATAACGTCCTGATAGTCCAACTGGGAAGGATTAAGTGTTTTAGAGGTATGTTTTTTTCCAAACAACGTTGTTTTAATTTTTGCTTTTATAATCAGTTTTTATGCACGTTATTTTAATTAATTTTGCTTCTGTATTCAATTTTCATCTGAACCTTTTAACTCAATAGGTAAGGTCGGGATAACAAATACAAAATATACAACAAGTAATGGATTCAAAACTGAATGAGATTGTTGAGTTCAAAAAACGGTGTGTACCTTCTTTCTTCAGCTCATTTATTCGGTTATTGATTAATGGATTTTCATATTTTTTGATTTTTTAATAATTAATTTTTGCGTTATAGTCTCTCGATTGATGGTGTGGAAAGTAGTACAAGAATGACTCAATTGTCTACTCAGTCATCCTATTCTTTCGAAAATGATTTTCTTAAGGAGACTGAAAAAAAGTCTATCAGTGATGTGAAACTTTGTGTTGATGTAAATGTTCAAATTTTATTTTTACTTTTCTTTAATTTTTACTTTCCTTTAATTCTGTCAATTTTGTATTGATGATATTTTATGTTAAACTGCGATTGCTTTAATTAAGGTAACTACCTGCATCACATACAGGACTATAAAGGCAATTGAGAGCAAATACAACTGGTGGTACAAGTCATGCAAAAAGTGTCCATTTTCCGTTTATGAGAATTTTGAGAAGTGGTATTGTAAGAACTGCCAAAAACATTGGGAAGATTATTATCCGAGGTAAAATATTCTTCTTAGTTTATAACCTGTCTTTAATCCGTATCATTCATGTACGTTGCTGATATACAATTTCGCAAAACTCCAGATTTAGTGTTCAGGTCAGAGTTGTGGATAACACAGATTCCGCATCCTTTATTCTGTTTGATCGCGACTGTGTGTTTTTGTTGGGAATGGGTGCTGCTGAATTGCGCGAGCTGCATTTCAAGAGGGTTTGTTTTTTAATTGCTGTGTTATGGTTACAATGTATTTTTTGTCGTTTTGTGCTCTCTGTTTGCGCTGTCTATGTTCCGTTCTTTTTTTTTTAGAATATTTTTTTTTCCCTTTTCATTTTTTTTAGGGTGCCGATTTGGATCAATTTCCAAATGAGTTAAATGTTCTGAATGAAAAGTCAATGTTGTTCAAGATAAATGTTAAGCAAAAGGATTTGAACACAAATAGTGAGCCCAAATATCAAGTTTCCAAAATTTGTATCAGCGAAGACATAATCTCAGCGTTCATTAAGTCTCTTATAGATCTAAATGTATGCTGCTTATATATTTCTTTTAGATAACTATTTTTCTTATACATTATATTTACTGTTGTTGGTTGTTGTCTATCACAGGATGAAGCAAATTTCGATAATGCACGCGAAAATGAAGTTGTTTCGTCGGAACTGGAAAAGGCTGCGGTGAGCTATGAATTCGATTTAGATTCATGTTATTAAAAATATATAAATACATATTTGACATACCTTTTTTATATGAAAAAAAAACACTCAGGATGTTGAAAGTCAGACCTGTGACAGTGCTGACGTTAGTGATGTCTCTCTGACGATGTTGACACCTGTGCTCACTTCTCATGATTCCATTGCTGGAGAATTTAAATTTTCAGTTGTTCGGCCGACAAAGAAAATAAAGCTTGTAAAGGAGTTACGTACTGTGGTTCTTATATTTTTATTTAAAATTCGTTTGTGTTTATATGTATTTTTTCTTACGCGAAGTGAAAACAGTGATAATTTATTTTTTCTTTATTTTTTTTAAATAGATTTGATGCAGAGGCAGATGAGAGTACGCTGTAGATTGGGCTGTTGTGACTGAAGAGTGTTATTTTGCGTCTTGGGACATGATGTTTATTTGACAAACTCTTGCATAGACATTTTTTTTGTTGGAGTTACATCTTTAAGTGTTTGCATCTTTTTTAACTTACGTTTATTAAATGTCCAAGTTTGTGATGTTTTGCTATGTTGAGTACAACAAAAACAAAATGTTACGTGGTGTTTATTAATGTATTCGTTTGCGCTTTTCTTTTTAAGAAAAAAAATAATTCATTGTTTGTGTAAGGGATATAATTCACTCTTTTATTTTTATTAACGTTAATAACTGGAATTCAAGTATTTCTTTTGTTTTCCAAACAAACACAATATCCGTACTCATTGAAAGTTAAAGTTCCAGTAATGCTATTAAGAAATATTGATCAGTCGAGAGGTTTATGCAATGGCATGAGATTGCTTATTACAAAATTA